AATCGGCAGCAAACGAAGTTGAGCATTAAAAAAAAGTACTTCACAAGTAAGCATTCAAGAAAAGCACGAGATATTCCAAGCTGAAAAAGTGAACATTTTTTTCTAAAAATAAAAAAAAAAGAAATCAAGTCGTTTAAAATGTAATAATAATATTGAAAGGTAATTCTGTTCTTTTATGGAATTTTTTAAAGGGATATGACATTTCTACGATATGGAAGGAAGAGAACGACCAAAAAAATCAACGCTTTCAATTAAGAAAAGGTACGTGGGTGGGTTTGTTGGCTAAATAAGAAAATGGGTGACCCCACCTCTTTTGCAGGACAGTGATAGCACGGGCGTATTTTGGGCGTAAGAGTCTGTAGAAAACTGACAAGAAATGGTGAAGACCTTGTGAATTAGGATTAAAAGGTATGAAATTTTTAGACTGCTTTGGGCTCATTGTGCAAGTCACACGTGTGTGTTTTATCTGGATGCTTAATACAATACTTCAAAGAATCACATTTTGCTTTCAATTCGAAAAAAAAAAATCCAATTTAATTATCTTAAGCATGGGCGGATACAGGATTTGTGATGGGGGGGGGCGTGGATAACGTCGTTCAGGCATGGGGTCTGGGGGCCGCCTTAAGGCCTCCAGTGAGTTCAGGGCGAAGCCCTGGTGGGGGTCCAGGGGGCGAACCCCCCGGGAGCTCCTGGGTTTTCGTGTATTTTAAGAATAATCCAGGCACAAAAATGCTGGTAATGGTTAGTTATGTACACTATATTTCACTTTTTAAAAGAAAAAAAACCAAAACAAACAAACATACAAAAAAAAAAAAAAAACGAACAAACAAGATCAGATTTGAAAAATTGAAAAGTGCAGTCTACCCTTCAAACGAGATCGGGAAATGATTTCCGGTTTGAATAATTAGGTATGCGATAATTCATAGTCTAGGAAATGCAAGGTTTTCAGACTTGATTTTTAAGAAAAACGATACATGGTCATTAAATAAAATTACCATTTATTAATTGACCATTAATTATAAAACCAAAGTATGGCATTATTTATATAAGTCATGTCATACTTTGAAAATTTTAGGGGGGGGGGGGGCGTGCGCCTCAAACACTCCCCTCCCCTTAAATCCGCCAGTGTCAAGTACAGGTAGATATCATGGAAAACATCAATTAAACTTTTTTTATCTCATGTTATGTGCAACCAAACATGTCTATATAAATGTTGAGAGGGTGTTCGGACACCCGTTATATTTATTAACAAAAAGCAGTCTGTCCATAAGATGTATCGACCCGTTCGACTCTCATACCCCACACCCCCTCCTTTAATTTGGTATTCAGTTGCGTTGGAGTGTTTAACACAATTCCCAGGCACAGCGAGGCACCTAATTAAAAAATCCGTTACTTTGTAATTGACCGTCAATCTTCCGTACTGTGTGTATGTAATACGATATTATCCCTGGAAACGGGAGTCAAATATTAATAAAATAATTATTTCTCCCCCATCATTGCTGATGGTAAACTTCGCGAAAGTCCGTAAACAGTTACGCTTAGCCCAAAAACCTACGGAGTTTTTAAACAGAATTATATTTTAAAAGTGCTTCTTTTTAAAAAATAAAAAAAAATACGTACACTGATAAATAAATACATCTATTCTTAATAAATATATATATTTAAAATTACAATAAAATAAGTCGTAAAAGAAAATCAATATAGTTCATTGATTTGATGTTGATTTTAAATAAAATTATGAATTATTAGTTTATGTAAAGAAAGACAACTGCAATTCTTTGTAAGTTATCTCTACGTATTATCGACATAGATAATATTTAACATTATGAAACACATCAAATCCAATGGTCCCTAGGCACCATTAGGCAAGATTCGGAGGGAAAATGTGTTTGCAAATAAATACACCAAAACCAAAAATCAAAACCAAAAAAATGTTTAGCATATCAGAAACATAAAGAAATAAGATAGATTATCACAAAACTCATTCCATAAATTTACTAATACACTGTAGGTGCATAGGGAGTTGACCCACCCCCGAATATAGGTCCCGGGGCTTTTCGACTATGTTTTCTTCTCTTTTTTCATGACAAATTTGTGATCTAATTCATATTATCAATTTAAAAAAAGAAAAAAAGAAAATAACAATTTATGAGATATTTTTTTATCTCATTCTATTTACTTAAACCAAGTCACAATAAACAGTCTGCTTAAAACCTTTTTTTTATTGGAGGGGGAGGGGGGCTTTTCTCTCTCGCTCTATCAAGGTAGACAGAACGCGTTTGTTCTTACGAAGAAATAACGTTTTTGCTGCATCATTTCCTGGATATAAGTATACATGTATATATTTTTAAATTTTATATCAAAGATACATTAAAGCTCTTGTTTAACGGGGAGGGGGGGGGGCATATGTTTAAAAACCAAGTCATACCCAGGTGTTCATTTTATGACCAATTCAAAATGAGATTAAAACTTTTAAATTTCTGTGTATGAATCTGATGTTTCTTATTTTATATAAAATAAACACATTAAAATTTAATTGCATGGTCACTTATTCAAGAGTAATTTAAAATAGTATACCCCTGGCCCTTATCAAAATGATTTATAATAAATAGATGAACATTTGAATAAGAATTATTAACTAATAACCATTCAAAAACAAAAAAAAGATAGCCAATTATAGAATTGCCAGACATGAAGAATCACAGGTGTGAAAATGTAGTTCAAAATTCATCAGTTTATAAATGTATCTTACAAGTCCATTGTAACTCAGTATTTTGAAAATGTCCCGAGGAATTGCGGATAGGACTACATAGTACAATATCGCACCATTACATGTAAGGGTTGAGTCGATGACGCGAATCTTACAATGACGATGATGTGATGTTGATGACGCGATGATGATAATGCGATTATGAGATGACGACCATAACCATTTATCAGTAAGCTAAAAATCTGCAACTAGGTTTCATGTTCTACATTTTTGATTTACTGGGTGGTTGTAAATACACATTTATATAGAACATGAAAAGGTTATACACAGTAGCCTAACTTTTGACCTTTGTCCACGGAGATGGATACTAAGGGGCTTTATTTTTATCATGAACATCATAAGACAGTGCAACTAAGTACAAAACCTAAAAAATATTATTTCTAATTAGAAGTGTTAAATCGAGAAAGGCCCGTAGGAAGCAATTTCAGTTTTTTTGTTTTTTGTTGTTTTTTTTTTTTTTTTGGGGGGGGGGGGGGACACAGCCATACATTTTTCAGTTGACAGTTGAGGGGGCACTACTAAAAATTTCTTGACAAGCAAAAAAAAAATGTCATCAGACGTTTTTAATGAGGGGGCACAAGCATATACATGTAGTATCTATGTTTACTGTAGTAATCTATACATCGGCAATTATTGAGAGGGCACGCCCCCCCCCCCCCCCCGGTTCCTACGGCCATGCGAGGTGAAATAATATCATAAATCAAGGTTTGCTTAATCAACAAAAAATAATGCTTGTGTAATGTCCTTGTAAAAATTGAACATTCATTTTTGCTCAAATCTCGAGTAAGCTTACCTGATCAAGCTTAAGGTGACGTCTGTCAGGTGTTACCTTTTTTTTTTTTTTTTGGAAACTCTCCTGAGGTGTCAGTTGCAACCAAATTTGTACACAGCGCATCTTACGGTAAATAAGGTTCCGGTTTACTAAAATAGAAGCCATGTCTTCTTGATTAAAAAACTGAAAAAAAACAAACAAACAAACGGGACTATGGTGTGGTCACATCAGGAGGGTATAACCAATTACCTAGAAATAGCAACAGGAATATAGGGAGAAAAGTATTAAAATATTTCTTTTATATTTGAAAAGGTGGGCCCTTTTCATCTTGATATTTACGGAAATTAAGATAATTTTCTTGAAACGTATCCTAGTAACTTTTTCAATTTATACTACTGTACATAATGATATACAGTACGGGTTCGAGACATCTTAAAATTAAATACATTGTATATGTATTTCTAAAATGTCTGTGCATTTTTATTTATTTATTTATTTTTTTTTTTTATGAAACAGTTTTTTTTTATCTTGTACGTAATTTCATTGTTTCTAATTAATATTTATTTGATCTTACCGCTTATTGGTTTAATATTAACAATCAGTGGTACTAATACTTTGAAGTTTCCATTCTCTTAATCGGCAACCTCACCTAAACTGTTCAAGAAGTCAATCCTGCACGTGTTTTATTGCATTTTGTACTTGATATGGATTAAAAAAAGACACCCTGAGGAAAAATCTAAAATAATCCTGGAAAATTTAAGAAATCAAGGATCAATACTTATCAATCAGTCTGATACTCGCTAAAATGGCAGGAAAGTTTGTTCAGGTATACCCATATTTTCTTTGCTGAATGAATTTATTGTTTCTGGTAAAACTGTATGTATTTATTTTCACATCAAAAAATAAACCCCGATGACTTTTGAGTCCGCTTGTATAAGGACGTGTGTGTATTTAGCCGTATTTTCGATGTAATAGTATTAACATTTTAACTTATTAATACCATAAATTCTAATCTCATGGCCTATCAGAAGATTTAATCAAATTCTTAAACCCCCAAGACTCCTACATAAGTAAATATAAATCTAACACACATTTGGACGATATGAAAAAAATCTTAATCACGCATGCCCGAGATAAAATGATGAGTTCGCTAGACATGTCTTTTTAAACTTTTTGAAGTTTTGACCTCGGCATTCTGTGGATTTCTGACATGCTGGCTTTATAGCTATCTTTGTAAAGGGTGCACGTTCAAGATTTTTGTGCATGTCACATGTTTGACTTTATAAAACTTGTACTCGTACGAGGAATTTATCACGTTTTAATATAACCGTCATTCGACTACTTTGTTCAACATGTGGAGAGAACTTTTATAAATCTAGATTTCTGTTATTAAATCAACTTTATTCATAAAAGTGCACTTACTAAGAAAATATTGGCATTGGAGCTTAAACTATTATAGACGTCGTGGATATTATGAGGTAAGTACAAATATTTTGTAATATTTAAAAAAAAAGGGGGGGGGGGCTTTTATCTAGACTATCAATATATGTACATTCATATATTCCTTTTAATAACATTTATATGTTAGCTACATCCATCAAATTCTTATTTATTTTTCAATCGATTGCCCACTGCAGTGATGATGAGAAAAACCTGATGTGTCGTGATCGATGAATTAAGTAATATGAACCCAATTTGAAGTCAAACAAAGAATGCACCCTTTAAATTAGCTGTCTGTGAAGTTTTCGGTAAATGCTTTTTGAGGGACCTTGTCAATCTCGACACTTTTGGCTTGAACAAATATTACACTCGAAACATGTCAACATTGATCGTGCCTTCAATTTAAGGTTTAACGTTAAAAGAGCGATTCCCCCCAAAATACACCTCTTTCGACGATTCAAGTGGCTGAATAAAAAATATGCAGTTTTCCTCTAAGGTTATTTTGAATGAATTTTTCTTTGTACCACCCTACCATCGGTCCATTTATCCTTTCAAACGGTAGTTATTCTTATGAAATTCATTGCGTGTCATATCGAAAGATTGCGAATAAGGGGGGTATTTGCAGTGCCATAAATTAAGCCGTATTAAAGCCATGTCACTCCATATATACAGTGTACAGTGCTCGGGTTTAAGGTGCAACTCCTAGGATCTACGTGTAAAAGTATGTCAATGAAATTCACAGAGCCATTTGTTGAAGTTTAACGACGGTGTCTCAAATAATACATGTATTATACAACAGCTTAAGATTGTTATACAGAATTTTTTTTATTTTGTAAGACGAGCAGGTACATACATATATTTGAGATTAAAAATATGTAAAAATATACGTCTACTTTTTGTTAAATTGACATTAAATCGAGAAATTCTTTCATTTTATTACCTTTTTTACCAATAATACAGCTGGTGTCAAGTTTCGGTGGTAAATTGTACATAAATATGTGGAAAGCATGAGTTGAAATGTAAATTGAACTTCATCATAACATGTTTTTTTTTTTCTTGAGATAGAATTTCTGCAGTTATTCTTCCGTCGGTGTCTTCCACCTATCTCCCCGCCCCCACTCCCCCCCCCCTTTCACAGCAAAACGTAAAAATAATAGAAATCGATATCCTCCCAAATGCATCTTTTATAATTTTTTTTTTACATTAAAACATTTATAGAACTATACTGGCTATAGTCAGTTGATAGGTATCACCAAAAGTCATCGAATACAAAAATAGCGGATTTTATACAGTCACAATGACATTTACATGTATTTATAATGTCTAATGTCTACATAAAATTTCATCGTTTGCAAGACATACACTAAGATGTGCCTCGGCGATCGATCTCAGTTGCTTTATTAATTCTCTATGCTAAATATTATTTTATATCATGTTCTAAAAATATCACCTCACTTTCAAACAGGTGTAAATGGAGATATAAAAGATCTAAAAATCCGATTGATCTCGGAAGAGACAGAGGAAAGTGTACGAAAATGCACTGCATGAATTGTTTGTTTCTGAGTTTCTTGTCAGTGCAGACGCAAAATATATATCGAAATTGATTTTAAGTTATTGCGTCAGATCGAAATAACGCAAAATTTATTAACGTAAGAGTAATAATGTTGGATCAAGAAATAGAAAATATTCATTCAAGACATTTATTATATAACATTATATTTGCTGCTGTAATTCTAAATGAATCCAGTATTACTTTCATGTATATTTTTAAACATATTTTGTATACACTTTAAAACAACTTATTCATGCGATCTTGATAGAAAACCAAAAGCCCAATCCGGCATGCCAAATATATACAAAAACAATCGTATGCTTTCCACAAACAAACATGTATTGTCCAATATAGTTCTAAAAACGTTTAAAAACATGATAAACGTCTATAACAGGGCCTTATTTTATATATTTTACGTTATTTTTCGTGCATTTTAGAGATTTTAATTTGGTGGTACCTAGGTACAAATTCTTGTTTTGTAGATCCCGTCACGGTAGCTCAGTCGGTAGAGTGCTCGCGGCGTGATCGGAAGGTCGTGTATTCGAATCTCGACCGCGACTGACCTAAACCGATCAAAAAAATAGGTAGCAACTGTTTCTCCGCCAAGCGCTCGGCACTTTGGAGTGAAAGTTGCAGGTCTTTCGGATGAGACCTTAAGAACCGCGGCCTCGTGTCACGGTAGGCGTTGGCACGATAAAGAAACCTCACTGCTCAATGGCCCTGTGTGTCGAGTAAAGGTCTAAATTTGAAGCCCTTCACCGGTACATGTATATGGTGACGTCTCTATATGAGTGAAAAATTCTCGAAAGGGACCTAAACAATGTACAATCAATCAATCTGTTTTGTAGATTATTCGATCAAATATCGGGGTCAAGAAAATGATATCCTTCTTGGACTCTTTAAAATTACCTATCAAAATAAATTTCACTGGTCATTTAATAGTATCAGTTAAATTTGTTGTAAATGACTCAATTTCAAAATAATGCATAAATTGCTTAATTATCTGATTTATCTCGGAGTGTGTGTGTTCCTAAGTTTTATAAATCACAATTGGAAATTAATTAGCCATTCCATTTTTTTTTTCATGTTTAGAGTCCATTTTGATATCAAAAACCTATCTTTCTATCCGGGAAAAAAACATATGCCAGCAGGAATAAAAGCAACATTTTTAGATTAATTATGAAATTTCTTAAAATGCAACTTGTTACAAAATAAAAAAAATAAGTTAAATTAAATTGAAATCCAAATCTTTGGTACAAAACTGCAAAAAAGAATTATGGATGCCGATTCCAATTGAGAAAATTGCGTTGCATGTATATTTGTATGGTTGGACATTTTGGTATATGCATGTGTGCTGTTTTTGTTTGTTTGTTTTATTATTTTCATTAAAATAAAAGTCAAAACCAGTCAGCACACGATTGCTAAACATAAAAAAAAATTAAAAAAAAAATAAAAATTAAACGTGGAATGGACTTAATAAAATTGTATGCATTAATTGCCTGATTATCTCGGCTTGTACGTGTTCCTTTAAGTTTTAAAAATCAGAAATGAGATATTTGTTAATTAAGAAAATGTTCTTGGAAGTTTATCGTAATTATATTTTCAAAACATCCAAATATCTTATAAGACAGATAATATCTGAACAATATACATATTCAGCAATCTTGTCCTTTTAAAGTTGATTGGTTCCTTATTTGGAGCTACAAAATATTTTTTACACGAGTTTTGGTTGTGCATTATTTCAGACATTGACAAATATTAAATGTAGAATTCATTATTGCAATCCTTTAAAAAAATCTGTATTAGTTTTCAATTCTAATTCTCTTTAAAGCACATTTATTGAGTTATGCCGTTGCATATGTAAAGCCCACTCTAGAATCACCCTTGTGATTTGAGACACCCCCGTCCCCCAACACCACCCAAGTACACTACTGCATCTTCTGTTTAATGATTAATCGATTAAGCAAATTAAACCAATGGTTCAGATATCTGCTTCTGTGGGTTTTTTTTTTTTGGTTTTTGTTTGGTTTTGTTTTTTTTTTTTTTTTTTGTTTGTTTGTTTGTTTGTTTTTTTGGTGGCTACAGCGCTAGCTCGCCTATCTTTTTAAAAGATAAGCTTGTTTGAAAAGTACATGTACAATATTCCTATTTCTTTTCAACAATTTAATAGGATAATTGTTTTTAATTAAATTGAGCCAAAAGATTATATGTTTTGGTGTTTCTGCTGTATTGAAAGTTTAAGTAGTGTTTGTAGTGTATTCTATCGCGCCGTGACAAGTTTTCATGTGTTTTACAGGGGATTGAATGTTGTAGATGTCTAATGGATTTCTTGAAGAAAATTACATTAAATACTTTTTTAAAAAAAAATTGTCAGTAAAAAATCAAAAATTTTACTGCAAAAGGTGTAATTTTAAGCGTACTCTATCGTCAACACATGTACGATTTATATAAATCTAATTATCCTGCATAAAGGTGTTTTTAATATCAAATATGTGTGGCATGTTAGTATCCGTGCCTATCCAGGCTACTTCAAATGATATCTGTGCAAAGCACGGGCTTGTGTGGCTTTTTGGTCGAATAATATTTTCATAAGAATTGTGTATGTCCCTAGCCCAGAGCATTTTCCAGGTGCTAAATTTATAAGAAAATCAATTTTTTCCACAACTGTCCGAGGCTTTCAATCCTATTACAAAGTTTTAAAATTCCGACTGACTCTTTAAAATGAATTCAAAATATTTTTTAATATTCTGTCTGCAAACATTTTGCCTACATATTTAGCTTAAAACACATTAAAAACAAACACTAGAAACGAGTAAGATTACTTGAGAGGCATTTACCAGAATTTACAAATACGGGTGCTTAGAATGTATTTATGTCTCATTATCTACTTGAGAAAAATCTTTTTCCTCATTTTTATTTTGAAAATTAATTTAAATGAACTTATGCACTGAAATTGCATTGTATTTTCTTTAGAAATTTCAAAAGAAATTTAACAAAATTGAAAATCTGCTATTCACATTGTATAGTTTTTTTTCCTTGTGTGTGGTTAATCTCTTTTGTGACTTCTTGTAATAGTAGGACCCACTGTCGTAACACCTGTTCGGAGTATCAAGTAAGACGCTTACGGCAGTACAGGGTATTTAGTTAAACCTTGGATTCGTGAATAAAAGAAGCGCTCGCAACGAAAGTTTATTCTTTATTAACTTTGGTAATTCAATTCTATAGTCTTTATAACCTTGACTTTCCTTATTAAAGTTAATCTTAGGGATCCTTAAAATCTGGGAAAGTCGCTTCTGGTAAAGCATTAAGCATAAAAAAAAAAATTCAAAGTTCCATGGTACATTTTTTTTCCATTTGACTGATAAATTGCATGTCAAAGATGCTTCGAATAAGTTAGTCTTTACAAATAACTTCAATTTATTAATATTTCAAAGAATGCAAGGACGTTTCCACTTTAACAGATCTGAGATTTAATGATTGCGACAC